GTGCAAAGGTAAGCTTTATAACTTTCCCATGAATGATAGGAATCCCAAGATATTTTTAAAGATTACCAGTGAGAGAAATTCCAAGATTTTCACTAAATTCTATTAAAATTGACATTTCTAGAGCAGAAAAGTTTGGATTTGCTTGTGTTGATTTTTTGACTGGATGCATTATAAAAATCAGAAAGACATTGGAGAATGATTTGCATTTAAGAGAGAGATAATTCTGTAAAAAGCAACAAATCATTAGCAAAAAATATGTGGGAGATAGGTTACCTATTAGGTGTTAGTCTAATAGGTTTTCATTCATTTCTACCAATACTACTAATGATGCAGTGACTTAAACATTCAATACAAAGGACAAAAAGATAAGGAGAAAGAGGATCCCCTTGATAAATGCCACGTGAAAGAGTGAATTCTTTTGTTGGTTCATCATTCCAAAGAACTTTCATACGAGTGCTGGAGATAGCAGTAAGAATTAATTTCTTGAAGTGATTGTTTATCCCAATGGAGATAAGAGTATCGTCAATAAAATTCCATGATAGTCTATCGAAAGCTTTTTCAAGATCCACCTTAAGGGCCATAAAACCTTTTGTTCCTGTTTTTTTCCTCATAGAATGAATGATTTCTTGAGCAATAATAATATTATCGCTGCTCTGTCGTCCCTGAATGAAACTACTTTGGTAATCACCAATTAAGTGGTTCATGCAAGTACATAATCTTATGGATAGAATTTTAATAATTATTTTATAGCTCACATTGCAAAGAGAGATAGGTCAGAAGTCTTTCATACAAGTTGGGTGATCAATCTTAGGGATCAAGGTAATGAAAATGTCATTAATTTCCTTTATAGAATCTGGTTCTCTAAAAACCTTTTTGATCAAATTGAAAGATGTTGTCTTTTAGATCCTTCCAATAAGAGTGAATGAATCCTGCATTAATGTCGTTAGGTCCAGGAGCTTTAAATGCCCCAATATCAAAGGTAGCATTTTTAATTTCTTCATCAATCACATCCCTATGTAAGGATTGGAGTTGATCAGAAGAAAAAGGTGGAAAGCAAGAAGTTATAGTGAGTTTAGGTCTGTCATCTTTGTCTTCTTTAAAGAGGTCTTCAAAGAAAGAAACAACCATGCTCTTTAGAATATTATGGTCTTCCACCCAGTTGTCATCATCATTTTTAAGAGAAATGATCTGATTTCTTTTCTTTCTAATGATGGATGTAGTATGGAAAAATTTTATATTTTGATCTCCCCATTTAAACCATTTACATCTAGACTTCTGGAACCAAATCATCTCTTCTTGCAAAAGAACTTTGTTATATTCTTCCCAAAGAAATTTTTCCAATTTTTGAAGGAAGTAGTTGTCTTGGTAGCTTCTGTTCTTGTCAATTCCTTCCAATCTCCTTAAAATTCTTTTCTTCTTGGATGAAATATTACTAATTTTTTCCTTATTCCAAGTAATAGCTAATTCGACAAAATTTTTAGCTCCTTCTGCCCAGTCATTATTAATCCATGAATCCTTGACCATAGGTTGGAAGGATTCCTCTAGCATCCAAGCAGCATGACAATGGAATGGTTTAGTTTGGTTCTATAGTTGAGACTCTTTGAATAATTGAATTCTATGAGTCTATGATCAGAACTATATTTGAGAAGATGATTGGAGATTGCTTGGTGGAATTTGAGCCTCCATTCCGTATTGCAAAAAGCCCAATCAATTCATTCTTTCACATTACCTTTTTCCCAAGTAAATCCATCCACGCAAAAGTTAAGATCAAGGAAGTTGGAAGAATTTATGCATTGTCTAAACTGTCTCATAAATCTCCAATTGAAATTATATCCACCATACTTGTCATCGCATGAAAGATAAGAGTTAAAATAGCAACAATGAGCCAAGGATCATTGATATTATGAGCAAGAGAATTGATAAAATCCCAAAGTAAGTCACGTTGGAGAGGATTAAGATCACCATAGACACATGAGAGTAGATAAGAACAATTATTAGCTATGATATTAACCCTACAATGCAATAGCTGAACATTAGAATAAATATAATCAATATTAACAAAATCCTTATTCCAAAATAACCAAATACCACCAGCATAGCCAGTAGCTTCAATACGAATCCAATCAAAAAAACCCAATTTCCTAACAATACCATCTGCTCTAAAACCATTAGCTCTTGTTTCAAGGAGAATCATGATTTGAGTATTGTAAGTTTTAGTAATTTCTTTAATACGTGTAGGAAAACTCTTAGCACAGGATCCTCTACAATTCTAATAAATTAAATCCATAATAAAGTATATAAAAATAAAATAAAAGGAGAAGATAAACCTAGTTGGAGGTTACTCTTCATGATTTTCTAGAGAATCTTCAACTTGTTCATCACTAAATTCATCATCCTCAAGATCATTATACTAGACAAATTTGCTAAACTCTTCATCCAGGAGGTCATCATCAAGGATATCATCTTCATCATTTTCTTGGATGAATTCGTTTCTATTGACTTCCATATCAGACAGTTTATTATCTAATTCCTTAGAGGAATCTATATGGAATTCAGTTTTTGGGACAATGCTAAGGTTGATATTAGGATCAAGGGGTTTATTATGATCAATTCTGGAAAGAGAAGGATTAATGAAATTTTGCTGAAAGGAAGAGATGTTTTCTTTATTTTGGTTCTGCCAGACTCTTGGATTAGGTGAGAAGCCAATTCCAATTGAATTCTAAACGGTTTTATTCCTTTGGGTCTTTTTTTATTCTGACTCGTTTATGGGCTTAGCGAACGAGCCCAGACTTTTTTTGCTACCTATTACCACATTGTGGACGCATTTGGAAGTTCTATTTAGGGCGCTATTGGGCTCAATTTCCTTAAGCTCGGTTCGGTCCAAATTCATGGTTTATAGGCCATTCCATTCAAAGATTGGTCCAGCTTTGTCTTTCTTAGGAATCTTCTCTCCTTTGCAGATTCTCGCCCTTACCTGCTCATCAAACTCATCTCATTCTCTCATTCAGTTTCTTTTTATACTAACCAAATCTTTTCTCCTCCAAATTTTCCTAACAGACCTTAAAGAGGAGGCTTAGGTGGACCATTGGAGGTATGGTCTCTTTGATTTGCGTCGTAAGAGTCCTGATCGAGACCGGCGAGGATGTCAAATCGTGACCTGAAGGTGAAATTCTGTCCACGATTGTGACGTGTAGATTGAAAATTTGCTAAGTTTCTTGAAAATTGTGAGTGTTTCTGGTGTTTATACTTCATCCATTCTCCATATTCATCTTCCAGCAGTTCATGGTTGTTTTCCAATGAGTCTTAAGTTGCTTGATTTGGATTTCCATCTTGAGCTTTCTTTGAGCACTGTTACTTATTGTTACTGTTTTAGCTGATGGAACTTGAGCATTCTATAGATCCATTTTCGCTTTTGTTCTTTGGGTTATGGGAGCAATTAATTTAGTTATGACCATAGCATCTACACCCAAAGCAGATCAAGCTCAAACTTTCATATTCGACATTATATAATCCGTCTCTGATCATTAGTCTGGGAACTAATTTTTTCTAGAGATCAATTTCGACACTTATTCGCATGAACTTCCCTCTTTCTGTCTTGCCCTGTTCATCTTTAGCATCAAACTCAGATAAGGAGTTAACATCAACTTTCAAAGTTTTCCCAATGCAATTTCCAAGCCTTCATAAAATTTCTTTGTCATAGCATTGTATAGGTATATTCAATAATCTAAACTATAGCGCGACTTTACCTAAGATGTTTGAGTTCAAATTGAAAGTAGGTGACCAACGTTGCACAAGAATACAGTGATCAAATATTGTCTAAGGGCCCCATTCAGAATTTTATCATAGGCAGTTTGATCCTTGGTTTTGATAATATAGTAACTATTAACTAGATCTATTAATTCAAAATCTTTTAGTTGCCACATCCTGGCTAACCTAGGCTTTAAAGATTTAGGATTGAGATGTAATCCCAGAGTATTAATGGCAATAACATCCATCTAAGGCATACATAATTTCTTCCATTCCTCGTTAGAAATTTGTAGAGCTAGATACTAGTCCATTAGCTTTTTTGTTCTTTCAATAGCTGATCAATTGATATCCAGTTCCTTAGCAAGTGCTTCATTTCTATGGCAAATTTCCTTTCCATTATTGATTCCATAACAGCCATTGTAACCTATCAGTGACTCCTTATAAAAGATAAGAGCTTTAATCCCTTGAGATAATGAAGATTTATTGTGGTTGGCATCATCAACAAGACCATCGTGGGACTGAATTTTCATTTGTTGCTCCTAATGGTTCTTAGATATTTCTATGTTTTGGTTTTGAATCTGTGCTTTTGAATGTTGCTGAATTTCTGAGTCTTTGTCAATCATCTCATCATCTGGCTTGGAATTATTTCTGAGTAGTAAATCGGTTTCTTCCTTTGAGGCAGGTGGATTCATAGTCTCTTTGAAAGCTGGTGTCGCTGAGAAGATGAAGTTGGGATTAAGTTCTTGATTGGAGTTCATGAAGAAGAGCAGAGGAGATGAAGAAAGCAGGAGTAGGAACAAGAAAGTAGTAAGGAAGAAGTTGAACCTTCTCTCCAGGAAACTAGAGAGAAGGTAGAGCTTCTCTCTCTAGCGTAGGATGAGTTTTTTAAAAAATTCCATTTTCAAACCTGATTAATGGTCATAACATGGCATTAACTTCAACCAACTACTGTTGAAACTCTCCCCAATTATAAAAATATGCCATGATAATGTTAGGTTCCATAAAACAGATAAAAGACAAAGTAAGATATTCATTCCTTTTATTTTTATAAGTCACTTTCAACATGTTTAAACGGAAAATAAAACCGATAGATATAAAGGAAAAAAGTCATTAGCTTAAACCAGGATTAATGACACTATCCTTGGAGATGTCTTTTTTGCCAACAATGGAACCCTAAGTACCCCTTCCCAAAAGTGACAGTTCTAGACAAATTAATACTCTCAATATATTAGCCAAATACACCATCAGGCACGTAAATCAATGGCAGACATATATCAACATAGCGGAATCCTGATAAGAAAAGAATTGTTGAAGCACAAATACATAACAAGTCATTACATGAACTACTTATTTGAGCAAGGCATATAAATTCTTTCCTATTTTCCTTTCCCCAAGTTTATTTCAATTACACGATCAATATCATTTAAGAAGATGACTGTACTTAGATACTTTAAGATGAACCTCCCAGCACCACTGAAAGTAAAACATACATTGACTGATTTCGGTCTCAATGAAAATGGAGAACGGATATCCATCTTGTTCACAAGAGGCAGGCTCGTGACATTACAGTGTAAACAATGAATAGGGAAGCAACAGGAAAGCACCAGGTTCTATGCATAATACAGAGGACGCCTATATTCATCAAAGTACTGGTCACGATCAACAAAAACAATGGCATAAAGGGCATAAATTATCCCTGGAATATAGCCTAGTAAGGTCAGGATCAAGCAGATGATGAATTCAACCTGCAACAATGTAATATCAGTCTCCGAATCGTCATAATCAAATTTTGTCAGAAATTTCATCAACAAAAGGAACAGTACAGCTTCAATTAGCAATCATATTAATTATCCGAAGAAAATAACCATTTAATTCAGTCTATTTGATAAAAACAATCATCTGCACAATAGGCAAGTTGAGTATAGATGCAAAAATTAAAAAAAGAGAGATCCTCTCAATTTGAGAGCAAAGAGTCAAAGAACAATCGTCCGATAATCATACAACCATGGCGAATCTGATCTCTGAGAATAAATATGAGGAAACGAAAGGCTAAGAAAGAGAGAGTGCGAGAGAGAGAAGGAGAAAGAGACGTACGCTGCAGCAGCCATGCCTTAAGCAAACGCCCAGGGGAGGAAGCAAGATGGCGATGAGGAGCTCGCAGAGGATTTCACAGCGAGTCGGCATATTGGACATGGAAAGTCAGAAGAAGGACTGAAACAGAACTTGATCCCAATTTATGAGGAAGGAAACAAGACTCAATCTCGTTGTTCTCTCGCCAATGGATCTTCGCCATTTCAGATTTTGCGGATTGGACCCCACCCTTTTCGGACCAGAGGAAATTTCAGTTAAAAAAAATCTTAATAAAAAGACAAAAATCTGTCTTTTTTTTTTTTCTTTTGTTTTTTATTTTTTGAACAAACATTTAAGTAAGTTGAGAATCTCAACATGACAGTACTTATAAATCATTCATCAAATATTAATAAGGTTCTCATAACCATAATATAATTTGATCATATAAATTTTTTAGTTATAAATTAATTTCTTACTAATAAGACCACCTTGATACTTTTATCCTTTAAATTTGAAGTTTTTATTTCTACAAAAAAAAAGTAAAGGTTTTATTTTCATGTTTTTTCACTTTAAAAAATATCCTTTTAATTTTTCTAATCCTATTACTACGTTAGTTGTGTTTGATGATGATTTGAACCAACCGCTGATATGACGAGTCAAAAACCAACAAAAAGTAATTTTTTAATATCCACACTAAGTTTTAAGAATTTTATATCACTATGGTTATTTTTTCCTGTTTTCTTCTGGCCATTAATATGGTTTCTTCTATCCATATGAGCATGACATTCTTTCCCTTCGTTTTTTCCTGTTTTCTTCTGGCCATTAATATGGTTTTTATTCTTTTGCCATTACAGAAGATTACAACAATTTTTTTTTTTACCCAAATAATTCTATTCAAGATATAATTAAATAGTGAATACTAAATGCTTCACCTCTCTCAACGACATTTTATTTAGATATGTAGTATAATCAGTACATGGATCAAAACCATGTTTTTAGTTTTAAAAAAAAAATCCAAACCCCATATTTTTTTCATAATTAATTATGTTAATTTAAACCTTGTATTGGCTGAAACTAATGGGAGCAGCTTATGGATTACTACAATTTTACCTTTACATGCATTTATTATTTGTCAGATAAATCACTTGCCAAATATACCCCTAAAGGTTTGTCATTAAATGGATCACTATTATATATAATTATTTGTTATATTGGGTTCAACAAATTTATTACTACCTCCGTGAAAAAATATATATTTTTAAGGGATTAAATGCATAAAAATATAATTTTTTTAACATTTTAAAATGTAATTATTATATTTTTTAAGGAGTTAAATGCATAAAAATATATATTTTTAGTGCCCTTCATTGCCGTCGTCCTATAGTAACTTCAAACAAAGGTACCCGATCTTCACCTCCTTCAATAAGATCTGCAGTAGTAGTGCTCCGGTGTAAGAATAGGCTACTAGCAACGGAGAGTATGATTCGTACAATGGAGAGTTTTTGAGCAAGGACGATGTTGAGTCTGTGTGGCATGAAGGCTTCCTCATTAATTATCTACACAAGGCTCCAGAAAAAACGAAAAGAAAAAGAAATTTGTGAATATACAAATTGGATCATTAAATCTTCAATTATTATTATATTAAATTAATAATAAATAATAATTTTTATATGCTAGTAGCAATGTAATTTATTTTTTAGAATCAGTGTAACACATTTATAAAATTTAAAAATTTTTAATCTATCAATTTATTTTATATTTTTAAATTCTAACTTTTAAAAAATAAAATTGTAATTTAAAGTGTAATATTTTTTCTAAAAAATAAAATTGATGACAAAAATATATACACAAAAAAATTCATGTCCATTTTTGTCGTTATATATCTCAATTGGCTTTTCAATCAAATTATTTAAAAAAACTTCAATTTGTTCAACTGACTTTAAAAAAAAACAAAATATAAATCTCGTTACAAATATAAATTTTTATTTTAATTTTAATTTATTAACCTTAATTAAATTATAATCTCAATTATAAATTTTTTAATTCAAGCTAACTCTGCATCAAGTTAAGTAGAGATCCTTTCACGCAGGACCTCTACCGTCAAATGTTATTGCATTTTCTAAGTCTTCAACTTAAAACATTGGTTACACTAGTGTGCATTGATAATTGAACCTAGAGGCCTGATATCACAGTAGCCATTTTGATGCAAGGATTTCTATTTTGGACCCAACATTTTGAGCTGATTTTTGGTACTGAATCACTGAACTTGGAATCAAAGGATTTATACTTAGAAATGTATTTTTTTTATACATAAAAACAAAAAAGTATTAAACAGGCAAAGTAGCTATTGGCTATAATCTACCTGCGTTACGCGAGAACTAGCCTCTCGGAACGAGTCACTTTTCCTCGCTCCAAAACTGGAAGCTTTCCTGCTGGCGTTGCAACGCTTCATACAGGCGCGTGTTGAATTGAAACGTATCGTTTCGCAGAAGGAACACGCATTCAGTGTTACTATTTTCCCTCCGCCATACCCCCAAGTTTTGAACCTCTGATCAAAAACAGTGTTTTCATCGGAGCTCCGACGTCCATGGAGTTTAACTTTCGTCAAGATGATCTCAAGTCACCGTCTTTTCAATTCCCTTCGCCGATACAAAGCCACTTCTCCGACCCCTCCTTGTTGCGAGGTTTGTACTTTGTATATTCGCGACCCATGATTCTTGAAGGGTGAAATAGCAGACTTTTTGGCTTTCACATCGATGTATGTTTAATGCCTTGGATTCGATTCTGCATTTTAGGTGGTTTCCCGAGTGTCTTTTCAGTGCCGCCGAACACTGAGCAACTGCTGAACCCCAACGTCGCCGGAGAAGATTTACTACGGAAGCTGGAGAAAGAACGAATCCGGCGAGAGATAATCTCCGGCGAGATTGCGAGGAGGCGAATGCTGGAGGAGGAGGTGAGGAGGGAACTGATGCTGGAGAGAGAACTGGCATTCCGACGGAGTTTGGGAGAGAAATTCTTGCTCGACGAGCAAGTAGGGTTGAATCCCAGACTCAACGTGATTCCTTGTCATGATAATCGGCCACTTGAGGAGCGAATCGCATTCCCAAGTAGCAGGCAAACCGTGGCCCAAGTTACGCAACCTGTGAACCCTAGAATCAAACCTGATCCTGACACTAACAAGTATAAATTGATCATGCTGGTCAGTCTGTAAAGTTGATCTTTTCACGTTTTTGTTCAATTTCCTCTTCCTCTGCTGGTTTATGTTTCTGTGCAATGGAGGATTAACTGCTGATTGACTCTCTTAAGACTCTATTAAAACTGCAAATGTTGTCTTCTTGCATCTTGGTGGGTCTCTAGTACAATGGTTCCAGGACATGAACCATAGATGAGGGATTTTATGACCCCGCCTATGTTAATGATGACCTGGTCTTTGTTGCACCACCAGCATTGTGTCACAACGGCACAATAAATTGACATGATATTGCAGAGCAAAGGGGGCCTAAGGTTTTAAGAATGGGAAGGGTTTGGGAAAAACTCGACCCCATGTGTTGTTGGAGCTTTTATTCTTTGGATGATCTTGATAAAGACTACAATGTTGTAATATGTGAAAATATAGCTCATTCAATGGATGGCTTGTGCACTTGTTATTTGTATCCTCTGAATCGATGATATGTGATGTTGGTGAAATTGATCGCAAAGTATCTATACTACATGTTTAATATAAGTTTTGTCTTACCTAAAGGAAGGTGAATGTAAAGTTTCAGTATTTTGGTTTAAATTTCACCAACTTCATATTTTTTTCCGCTTCTAAAACACAAAGCACTGGAGTTGTGTTCAACTTTCACTAACTTCATTCAGATCTGAATTAGTGCATGCACGTGAGCTTTCTGCTACACTTTCCTTTAAGAACAGGTTGTTTAGAGGATTAGGAACTTCTTTTGGACTGTACCAAACAAATATAATTGAAGGGCAAACACAACCAGTGGCACTCATCCCTGTGTGTGGCTTTCCATGACTGCTTTTTGCTATAATATTGAAGAGGATCCAAATCCTTTAAACCTGTTTTCTTCCCTGCAATTGTGTGGACTTAATCTTAGGAATAGAGTTCCTACATAGCACTTGGATAGTTATAGCTTCCTTTGGAGGTTAAATAGTGTGATCAATGTGCTCATGTTTGCCTTGCTCTTATACATAATGGAATACAATAGAAATGTTGAAGAACTTAGTGGTCAGTGTTTATATCGCTATTATATTTTTTTTAAAGGTCTTGTTGGAGTTCAAATTTTCTAAGCATACATTTTTTTATCCTTGCCATGAGTTGTAAAATTGAGAATTTCAGAAAGAAGGGATTTCACATCTGGTAAAACTTATAGAATTATATGCTGTTCACTGGAACAAATATCAGCAAGACTTTTTGCTAATTGTGACGCTCTGTTACTACACTTTACAACTTCGTTTCGTAGTTGCTTGGCTGAAATTCTGTGGTGATACTGTTTTATTGATCATGATTTTGGACATTGTTTGCTTATCTTCCAAGGGAATCATGTCTAATCAATGTGTTCATGTCTGGCTTTTATTCACAGAAGAATTTATATTTCATTTAGGTATGTTGAAGCGCTTACTGGTCAGTGGACTGTTAATAATATCACTTGAGTTCCTTGTATGTTATTTTTGGTTATCTTTTTACAGGCCAAGCCAAAACCAGATCTTTATAGAGAAAAGCGGAAAGTTGTAACGCAAGATGCTGATGATGATGATACAGAACCTTCACCTGCTAGCGTGAGGAAAAAATCCAAGGATGACTGGAGCTGTGCACTGTGTAGTGTTAGCGTCACAAGCGAGAAAGCCTTGAATGAACACCGCCAAGGTAAAAAACACAAGGCCAGGGAATATGCACAAAAGAGAAGAATGCAGAAGATAGGTATGAGTGCTAGCCCGTCGTTTACATCAAAGAACAGTGAAAAGTCTCTGAAGTCTCCTGAAACCATTGTTACTACTACAACTTCAGGTTTGAAGGCAAAAGCAGACGCTCAAGTTCAACCAGAAGTGACCAAGGTAGACACAAATAATCAGACAGTGGTAGGCGAAGATCTTGTGGAAATCAAAACTGAAGGTAAGGAGATGGTGGAGAAAATCCAAACAGAAAATTCAAAGAAGCAAAATAGGACTGAAACAGAAAAGGTAATGATACCAAATGCAGAAAACAAAAGATTCAAGTTTTGGTGTGAACTCTGCCATGTTGGATCTTTCTCTATGATTGTGATGGACAACCATAAGAGAGGGAGAAAACACAACAACCGATTAAAGAGATCTCGTCAAAATGACGGGATTGCTCCTCCCGCATATTCTGGAGTATAGAAGCTTCTCCATTATTGACAAAAGATGCAGATGGTTGTCCTAACGATGATAGAGAGGTGGTTGAAGGTTTTCTAAACGGTAAATATTCTACGGCAGCATAATTTTGAGGTTATAGAATGGTGGGTGAAGAACTATGATCTCACAAAAATATGCTGCAAATCCTGTAGTTGCTAGCATTTGTAGGGTTAGTTGACTTAAGCAGACACTGGATATTTTCTTAGGCGTACGCCAAGTGACATGTATAAACTCTTATGATCTTACGTTAACATCTGGCTTAATTGAAAAACCTATTAACTTCATTTGTAGACTATGACTTCTCCATTTGATTTCCTCGCCTGCGAATTCCATGTGATGACTTGGTCTCAGCAGCGTGGTTTGAGTATTGATGGCCTCTCAATTTCACGCCCTCTTGAATTGTTTTGATAAATAAATCTTGATATTCAGATAGGCTTCATTACAATGAGGTTTGCTGAAAAATGTTTTACCAATGGTTTTGGTCAAAACATGTTTTGATCATTTGGGAAAAAAACCGTTTTTAATGAATTTCAATAGACAAAAAACATTGTGTAGCTTCTGGTGGACGTTTCACAATGAGCATGACATTCATGATGCACCTTGACCCGATTACCAAGTAACTTGTTTTAACAACACGAAATCATATTTCAGTAGTTTACACGTAACACGTTATCTTGGTCAATTATGGTGCCACAAGAGGCCCCTCTTGATCGTTCATGACGCATCCAAATCGGAGAATCTTGCGTCTCAGAATCTTACATAGTAATAGGGATGATGCCAATGCTGAGTTTCTAAGAAAACTCGCTTGTTGACAACAGCATAGACAACAAACGGGCATAGAAATGAGCAGTGAGATGCAACAATACATAAAACGACAAACCAGAGAGTGAACGTGTGATTCCTAAGCAGAAATTTCCCATTTCACTTTATATATATTGAACATTGAAGATGTGATACTATATTTATCTTTACAAGGAGACATAAAACTAGAATGATCAGTAAAATGTAAAAATCTGCTGTTGCATCAAAGGCTCGCTACAAATTCCTAAAGGGCAGGAATTTTTGCCTAATGCACTAGATGAAATTAAACCCTTAGAGCCACCTGATCTTGCCATGTAATCTTCCTCTTCCCGGCCCTGTTTGAACCATCCCCAACATTTCTGCAAACTGATAGCTTGATGTCGTTGTGCTGCTCATCGCTTAACATTCTCAATGTATTTTTCTTTGGTTCCTCAATCTTCATTGGCTCAACACTACCCTGCATTTCCTCCTCTTCTCTCTGCAAAACAGAGAGAATCTATTAGCTTCACTGAAATGAATCACAGACAAGTCATGATGTGAACGCAGCATGTACAATTAATTACCGAAATCTGGTTCAAGTCAAAAAATGGAATAATACTCTTCTTTGTGGCTTCCTTCCCACTGTGAATCCTATCCTTCTGATTTAAATCAAGCATTGGATTTGAAGCAGAGCCATGAAAAGGCACAGCCTTTCCACTAGAAGTCCTAGCATTCTGGTTTAAATCAAACACAGGAGCAAGTTTCTGCAATGTGACTTCAACCCCATTGGGAATCCTTTCTTTAGGATTCGAATAAGGAGGAACGGGAGGGCGTAGGGCGAGGTCCTTCTTACTGTGACTCCTTCCCTTCAAACCGGTCGGTGCATGGGTTTTGACCTTTTGTAACTTTGAAATATCTTGCTTCGGTTGAGCCTTTGGCAAAGGGTTTTGCACCAAGTATTGGTATCGTCGCCTCAAGAATCTGCAGTTTCAAGAGAAAATAACAGAGGATAAGCTCATAAACTCTACATGGATAAGAAACCTGCAATCTCACATTGAAAGACACAAATAGTAACTAGTCTCCTAGGACCATACCCAACTTCAGCTAACAACAACAGCTTTTTTTGCTTCATAATCTCCAATTTCCTTCTTGTGTCATGTGTCTCCTGCATATATGTAATAGCATTAGTTCAATAGTTCAATTTCTTCCCAACTGGCAAGCATCAAGCCTGATTCTTGAAGAGTTTTCCAATAAGAAAATATATTTTACAATACTAGAGGCAAAAATTTACTGCGGGTCCAAACAAATACGGTGACTAGCAATAGAATGACAGATGATCAATATACATCCTAAAAGTAGACGCAAAACTTTAAGGCCTGAATTTAAGTTGAAAAGTTTCAGGAAAGATTTAGGCAAAATAACAAAACAGATCCAAGTAACTTGGAAATTCTGAAGTTTGTACACGCTAAGTACATGCTTGAACAAGGAAATTTCATGGAAAAAGCAGACTTAGGCGAGAAAATTTGATGTAACTGACTATCTCATGATCATAAAAACCCTCTAATTCCAAAATCACAAGAATTTCCGAGAGAAATTCTTCTTTTATTTGGGAGGGTACCCGAATCTAGAAAATTTTAAAAAGAATGATATTTTCCAGCCTTATTCCACCAGATCGAAATATAATTCGTTGTTTCAAGATTACAAATAAGTAACTTCTCCGAGAGAAAAAAAAATACAATCAAGAAAATTGGAACAAAAGATTCATACATCGTTATCCCTAACAAATCCTCAATTTTCCGGAAGATAAACAACATAAAGCCAGAATCATCAAAATCCGCAAAGATTTTCAGAAAGAAACCACCAGATCTAACGAAATCCTCAAGAAATTTTCGAATCTTCACAAAACCGGGCGAAATATTTACCATCAAAAGCTCTTCATAGTCCTGCAAGAGGCTCTGATGCCTAAGCCTTGCCCTCTGATCCTCGTACGAAGCATATGGAGGCTCCAAACGAACAGCCCCTTTCATCTTCTTCATCGTCAGATCAGCGAGGTATCACAGCTAAACACAGAGAGAATAAAAGAGAAAAGGGATAAACGGGGAAAACGCGGGAGCACACAAGAAGGCGAGAGATACCCAAAAAGAAGGGAGGCCAAAGAAAGAAGCAATGAATAAGAGAGCGAGAAAGATAATGAAGAAAGAAAGAGGGTAGGGAGAAGGTTCTCGCTTTCCCTGTTTTCTCTGTGAAACTCTGACCAAGACAAAGGAACCCAAAAAGCCCACATAACTCGGTGAAAAAAAAATTGTTCTTTAGAAAGACAGTGATGAAGATGGGATTTTTTGGGGGCTTGCAGAAGGGTATTTCGGGGAAACATGGCTTGTGAAGCGAGAGAGAGATTGGTGGTGGTGTTGTTGTTGTTGTAGTAGTAGTAAGGTGGGTTTGGTTGGAGGACATTTGAAGACATCTATATCTATCCATCCATCTAACCTCCCTCCCTATTCTTTCTTGCTTTCCCATTCTTTCTTTTTTGTTTTTCCTTCTACATAAATTTTGGTCCAGCTGGGCCATTCATGAGAGAGAGAGAGAGATGCATATAGAAAGTTGGACTCTTTGGCGTTGATGTGGGACGATGCGTGGAGTTTCCAAGTTTCTTCTTTCATTCTATTTGTTGTTGGTATCTTCTGCGTAGAGAGAGAAAGCAATAGGAATGGGTCAGAGAGAGAAAGAGGAGGGCATTGAAGGTAATGGGATCGTGGGATGATGCTGTTCCTCTGAGAGATGCTGTGACCTGTTTTGCAGCAGTTGATGATGTTTGTTGTTGTTGTTGTTGGTAGCCCCTTGATTTTAGGCTTTGGCTTAGGGATTTCAATTCAGAAAGGTTCACTTTTTTTTATTAATTTAATTTTGGGCCTGTGATGGTGGCGTTGCCAGAGAGAGAGAGAGAGAGAAGAGTCAAATGCAGTGTTATGAGGCATGTGAATTTACCTCCATGCCCTTCCTTGTAGGGTTTCTTTTGAATCCAAGATTGCTTCCTTCAAGATGTTTTTCTTTTTCACCTTCATAGCTCATGGATGGAGAGAGAAGACCCAATGCGACTTTTCGCAAGCGAAGAGGGTAAAAGCGTAAAAAAAAAATGTAGCATGATAGCATCCCTTATTGGCGGCTTCAAGCCAGAGGAACCCATCAGTGGGAATGTAGAGGGAAAAGAAGGATAAAACGATGTCGTTGGGTCAGGCGCTTTGTCATTTTCTTTTTTAAAATTTTTTAGGTCTTGATTGTGATTTAATATTTATTTAACTTGACTAATGCTTTGGCAGTTTGGCTCGCCCTTTCATTAATTCATCTTCTGGAACGCAACTAGGAAAGATGCTGCCCAGCACCTTTTTTCCTGGACTCTGTGTGCGACACTACCATTCCTGAAGGGCCTACCTGGGAGTTAGTGACATGTCACTGCCCAAAAAAAAAAACACAAAAGTTGACTTTTAAAAAATAATAGAGATTTTTTATTTATAAAATTAACCAACATTTTTTTATTATTATTTGATTATATGAATTGTTCTAGCATTGCTAGCAATAAATAGAAATCTAGAGTAGACCAACCAGTTTAACTGATAACTTGGTGAATCGGTTGGTGGCTGATTTAGTTCATGATTAAACCTGGAGTAGTGTCAACTCAAACTAATTCGATAGTGACCCAATCAAAGCGGTCGATTTATTTGAAAAAAATTATTTAATTTTTTTTAATTTTTATTGAGATTTTACTGAGTTTGTTGATTTTTGTTAGGATTATGCTCACATGTACAAAATTATTCTCTTTTGATTGAATTTTTGTTGGGCTATTTGAACAAAACTAATAATTTTTATTTAAATATTCACTTTGTTATATTCAAACATAAATATTTTTTGAGAAAATTAGCTCAATGATCTCAAAAAAATACAACTCACATAAATTATAGATGAGGTTTTTGAATATTTTAAAATATGGCCCATTTAAAAAATTAATTAGATGTGTTTTTTCTTTTTTATTCTCTGAATAAATTTATTATCAAAACAGAATGTATCTAATTTTTTTAACTAACTGAATTTTTCATTTTTATCATCAAAAATTGTATTATGCACGCTCCTTCTCTGATTTATCATCTTTGAATATTTTTTCATCAAATTTTTTGATCTGATTTTCCTAAATCATTATATTTATCTCTCATACAATACTTTTTTTCCTCAGAATTTTTGATTTAATTTGCTTGAATTACCATCTTCATTATAGAGCTTTTCCTCTCTCTCCTTGTCTATTTTTCCCATATATTACAAAGAAGATATTAGACATTGAAGAGGAAACTTCATTATTGATCTGCAATACTACAGTTGTATATCAATGATAAATAAATTAGTAAGTTTTTGCTAATATGACTTATATATAGTGATATATAATAATATATCATTGATATACTATCATAAATTAACATAACCAGACAATCAGACATAAACTTATTTATGTTATATATCAATGATATAGTATTGCAGATCAGTAACACAAAAAATACATAATCATTTGCCTAAAATAGATCAAACATAGTCCAAAACTTTTTTGGACTCTTAGCTTATCATAGAGAATCAAATACCTAAATCAATAAAATAAAAAATTGTAAATCTATAGCTCCATTTTCTTGCTGCTATGCTCTGTTCCATCAAGTATTGTCATGCATCTCACTTCATGTTTGTCTTTCGCTGTCGTGACTATGGCTCATTCACACTACTCTGTTATTTACCATTCGTCTCTCTTGTGTCGAATTCCGTCTTCTCTCTTGCATTTGTCTCTCTTGTTCTAGAGATTTCTTACATTTTGAATCTCTTGGTATTTGAAAAAAGTATATATTGAAAAGGGCATTTTTATAAATTAATTATAATCTAAATATTAAAAAAGCCTTTTTTTTAAATTTAAGAAAATATAGACTATTTCTTTTACTTAATCTTATAATATGAGTTATTTGTGCAAAAGCCCTATATTTTTATGTATATAAATTAAATTATTTTATTTTAATTAAAAATGGTTTGACTTCAGGTTAACTCCTAGTTAAACCACTAACTCTTAATCCATTATCTTGACTGATTTAATTATTAGTCTGATTTTCAATACCTTAATACTAAATTTAATTGGAGTAATAACTCTTTTCATGAATTTGTTTTTTTATATTTGTATGAGTTCGAATCTAAAATTTTATATCTAAGCAGTTGTAGTTTAAAAACTCAAGTTGGGTAACCTATTTTTTTCTTGACAAATTACAAGTCAACAGGAGATTTTAGTTTCAACAATTGAATTATTTACTGTTCAAAATGTTTTCGATATTGTATATTATCTCGGTTAATAAACAGTTAAGTATATAGGACGAAGAAGTAAATTCAAAATAAATTCTTAAAAAAAAAACCCAAAACTAAATTTAAAACATTATATTAAAATTAAAAAATATTATTTTAACCAATAAAAATTGAGTCTAGCATAAATAGTTAGTATTTCATAACATCACTTAAATTCTTGTTGGAAGATGTATTTATATTTAATGATCAACAAGTGATCACACCTTAAACATAATTATTTTCAATAGAAGGACACTTCTATATGCAATGAAAAAATGGAGAATTACTTTAAGGACAAATTCAACGTAATCAATTACTTCCAGGTCTATTGACAATTAAATTTATGAAAATGATAACACATTAAAGTTGGATGATTCAAATGACCCAATAAAATTCGTTCTTGATTTGACTTTCTCATATTTCTTTAACAATATACATGGTTATTCATATTTTAGAGATAGGGCTATCTTGGCTCTTGTGTTGGTTGTAATTGAAGAAATAAACATGTACATATTATCTCATATAACATCTCAAAAATTATCCCCTTGATTAATTAAGCTAATGAAAGGTAAATTTATAAATTTAAATATAAATGAATTTGAAAATAGTTAGAGACGACTATTAGGTTTGAAAGTGAATTAAATCTCCCAGACTCAAATTGTAGAGAAAAATTGAATTTTGCCCACTGTACGTTATGTTGCAACCTAAAAATTTATGCTGCAGCATAATTTTTAAAACCAATTTTCTTTAAAAATGCAAAAACATCCAAAACTAAGAGAAATAAGCCAAAAACAAAGGGAGGGCAACAGAGAGAGTTTTTCTCTATTAGGGTATGAACTTTTGAATATTTTGGAGGTGATTGGAGCTTGATTTTACTTAAGTATGCCTTTTCTTATCCCTTCTTCTTCTCTCTATACGTTTTGGAAGTAAGATTTGAGGTTAGAAGATAATAATTTTCGAACCTAGGCCTATGAGTCCGAACCTATTGATCTAAATGAGATTAATGAGAGTTGTCTAGGTTATCTAAGCCTAGATATAATGGTTTTATGCATTCATGAGAGTGTGCTCTCATTATGGATGAATTTATGCATTTAAATGCCATTAGTGATGAAAGTTAGATTGTTGAAAGCCACTATGGGTAATAGTTGGGTTTAATAAAGTCAATTGGAGTTAATGAAAGTTAATAAACCTAATGTGATAATTAAACTCATGAGTTGATAGTTTTTGGTGATTAAAATGTTGAAATTTGAGAGTTAGAAGTGAGTAAGTTGTGACATTAGTGATGATTTTGGATTATTAGATGATATATTAGTAATTATTTAAGTTGTTACAAGCTAAATGAAATTAATGGGAGTTAAGGAACTCATTGGATGTGAAGTTAATCTTGTAGTTAAGAAATTTGATTATTAAAGTATGAAATAAATGATCGAAGTAGTGATTTTAATGATTATTAGTAATGGGTATTAATGTAATTGTAAACTAACCTCACAAAACACCAGTGAGCTTGAATTTAACTCAGAAAGCAAGTTGTGATAAAGGAATAACCTTTGATCTCTCAAAGGTTTGAGATAACTTAAAAAAAATCTTATTTACATAATTGTATGTTAATTATTTATTAGTTGAACTAATTCATTTGAAGGTTTATTTGGGTGGTCAATAACCCATGATGTAATATTAACAACGTGATGAATTACGTGTATGAGATTATATTGAATTGTTGAGAATGTTACACATGTATATTCATGTGATTATTGGTGAATGAAAGCATATAATTATGAAATCAATGAACATGTGATATTTGGCATGTAGAATATGATGAATATGATTGTGATATGTGGATTATAGTGGAGAAAGAGAATTATGTGAGCATGATATAGTGTGATTACTATTGTTTGAATGGCATAGATCTTATTATTTATGCATAGCATGATCATTATAGGGGGAGTTCGCCTATAGGGAGGAGTAGATTAGCAAATTCACATGATAATAATGGGTTATCGTTGAAATTAGAGGCTTGTCTTGACACCAACCGTTGAAATTGGGAGGTGGCCATTGTCTCATGGTTGATTAAAAAATATCCCACTTATTCTTTAAGAGACTCAAACTTAACTAATCTTCACTGGTTTATAAGAAGACTAGATTAGGGGTACAACACCCTATGGTTATTAGTGTTAGGAGAAATCAAGTAACATAAGTGAGTGCGTTAACTCTGACCTGATAGCTTTTCATGAGTGAAAGGCTTGATTAGCTTGAGTTTTGGACGTAGCCTTAAAATTGCCACTAGTTTCATGTTGAAGGTATCAAGAGGGTATAATGTTAGCATTGATAATGCATTCTGCTTCTGACTACATGGTTGTTATTACTGTGGTCCAACGTGTTTTCATTAGAGGTGCATGGTTGTTATTATTGTAACCTCAAAATATGCATTTTTGAAATAAATGTGACAATATGCATTAGTAC